ACCTCCCTTAAGACAACAGTTTCCAATTCTGTAGTTGCAACTCTGAAAATTAACCTCTGTCAAACCACAGAGATTGAAAACAGGCTGGTCAAAGAAACAACCAGCAGCCAGAGCAGCCACCAGGGTCGCTGTAAGAATATAGAGTTCCCCCACCTGGCTTTGACACAGCAAGCGTGTTCAGCCTGGGTGTTTGGTCCCTTGTTTTTAAGGTCCTTTAGGAAACAGGTGACGCTGAAATGGGGATGGGATGGTTTCTAGTGTTCATTGGCTGGGAATAGAAAGTAAAGCAAGCCCTGCCTTCTAAAAACCCTGTGTCTTCCCTTGGAGTGTTCATGTGCTCAGGTTCCCATAGACTGCGTTGTGACAACACTCCTCTAACTTATAGCGAGACTCTTTTGTACTTTCCCATGGAATGGCATAACCCCAGAATCACTTGGGTTGGAAAAGACCCCTGAGACCATCGAGTCCAACCTGTAAACCTCTAAATCACAACAAAGTGAAGAGTCAGCCATGTCTTTGATGCAGGCTCTGGATGCCAAATAACCGAGGTCTGAGATAAGGATTTAGTCTACAGCCACGCTTCAGGTGTCCAGGAAGAAGTGCTTTGGATAAAATTCCAGCTGTAGTTCCAGGGTTCATCATCTACAAGAAGAATTTGAAGTGATTTGAAATGTCAGCTTTACATGTTTAGGTCCTCTGTCTCCCCCTTGTATTTATATTTATTTATTTATTTATTTATTTAAATCTCAGGGCAAATGTTTTACTTAATTCTAGGGGGAGGGCCAGTTTTACCTGGGTGAAAACCAAGTAAGGATGGCGGGCCTTGGCTTGTTGCCATGGGGGAAGCAGAGATAGAGGTTTGTAATTGGAAAGAGCATGTAAAAAGCTTGTTTTGAGTTTCTCAAAGGAATCTAAGGGACTCTGAGGGCGGTTCTGCATCCCCTCAGATACGGTACTTAATATTTATGCTTGCATTGCACCTTGACAAACACTTCACGTAGTTATTGCTTTGCTTGAATATGGAAATATGTTAATTATGGCCTTTATTCTGCTGCCTGCTCTTTTCCTCAGCCTTTTCTATTCAACCCTCTAGGTGGCCCAGCACAATGTGGCTCCTTTTCTTTCAATGAGCTCTTTCCACACTAATAGGGTCCAGGGTGATGTGGAGAACCATGTGCACAAAATTGGTGCACCACCCCCCATTCCTTTGTGGGCATGTCAGGTTAAATTCATATCAGCAGGAGGGTCACTGCCATGATTTTCAATAGCTCGAGATGAGGTGATGACTCCAGACAATGGTGCCACACTCTCCAGTTGGAGACACTTGCCTCACCAGTTGCAGTAGTTAATTAATATGCTAAAAATAGAAGCCAGTGATACAAATCGCTGCCTGTTGTACAACAAAGACTGGGCATGTGTAGCTTTGATAGCCAAGTTTATGGTGCTTGTTATGGAGGGAAGTTAGTTTAGAGCTAGAGGCGATGTAAGACTTTCTGGATGCTGAGCTTTAGTCACTCTGGGCCTCTGGCCATTCGCTCGCTGTCTCATTTGCATTATGAATGACATTAAGGGAGCTAACAAGGTTATTGGGCATAGAAATGTTCGCATGTGACCCCACGTGGAAGCAGACCTACAGCAGTGCTAGCTGGCAGGGACACTGTGCCTCTTTATTCCGCTTCCTAGGAAGACAGTTTCTGGGAGTGGATGTAAAATCAACCACGACAGCACCGGTGTCGGGATGACGTGGAGGTCGTGGGGCAAGCCCTGTGGAGTTCAGAGGGCAGGCTGGACCTGTGTCCTCCTCTGAGCCTGGTGGTGAGCACTGAGTGCAGGACATGGGAGCTCCCTGCTTGGGGTTCCTCAGCAGCTGCTCTGCTCTGCTCTGCTCTGCTTTGCTCTGCTCTGCTCTGCGTGGAGCTGCTCCTCAGTGACCACAGATGAGGGTGTGGCCCATCCCAGCCTCTGAGTGAGTCCATTTCTGCCTGCTGCTGGCTCACAGGAGGGTCCTGGTTCTCACCCACCACATCATAGCTTCAGTAGGGACTGTGAAAACACTGGCAGAGTTTGAGAGGTCTCTCATCCTCTTTCTCCGAGTTTCCCGAAACTCAAGACGTGGAGGGGTAAATCATGGACAGCCCATTGCTACCTGGATAATTGAGAGATAGTCTGGTAAAGCCCAAAGATCAGACAAAGCAGTTGCTTCCCAACTTAGGGCCCCACTGGCCAAGTGAAACCTTGTTCACACCAGTGACAGCACGTGGGATTTGCAGTCCCCAGGAAATTCAGCGTGTGCTAGAGGAGAACAGACTTCATGTCTGTGTGCTCTGCTTTAATTCATCCCTTTTCTGAAGGGATTAGTGGGGTTGCTGAGGAATCACTCGGTGTAGATGAGAGTGGATTTTGGGGATGGGAGGTGTGCCCCATAAATGTTTGACCACTCTTAAGTTTCACAGGTTTCTGTTATTTGCTCTGTGGATCAGGAGGACACTGGACAATCACTCAGGCACATAAACACTTACAGCCTTTATAAAACCTCTTGTTATCAGAGTCCTTTAACCACTCCTGCTCTTCTTACTGGACTTGTGTAAACTGGTGTATGCTGGTTTGTGGAAATCCACATGAGGTGAATGTGAAAACAATATTGATCACAGAATCTTTAGGGCTGGCAAAGACCTCTCAGATCACTGAGTCCAACCACTAACCCAGCACCACCGTGTTCACCACGAAATCGTATCCCCAATGTGTGCCACATCCGCACACTTTTGAAGACTTCCAGGGATGGCGACTCCAGCACTTCCCTGGGGAGCCTATTCCAATGCCTGACCACCCTGAAGGAATTTTTCCTAATATCCAAACTTCTCTTGGTGCAACTGGAGGCCATTTCCTCTTGTCCTGTCCCTTGTTCCCTGGGAGAAGAGCCTGACCCCCACGTGGCTACAGCTTGCTTTCAGGTAGTTGTAGAGAGTAATAACATCTTGCCTCTTGCCCCCCTGGGCACAGCTGGGCTCATGTCCAGCCGCTGTCACAGCACCCCCAGGGCCTTTCCCACCGGGCACTTTCCAGCCCCTCTGCCCCAGCCTGGAGCTGAGGGGGTTGTTGTGACCCAAGGGCAGGACCAGCACTGGGTCTTGTTGAACCTCATGCTGTTGGTCTGGGCACATGGATCCAGCCTGTCCAGATCCCTCTGCCCTCCAGCAGATCCAGCACTCCCACCTGACTTGGTGTGATCCACAAACTTACTGAGCATTCACTCGATCCCCTCATCCACGTCATTGATAAAGATACCAAAGAGAAATGGCCCCAACACTGAGCCCTGAGGGGCACCACGAGTGGCTGGGGCAGACTGCAGTCGTGGAAGGGCAGTTCCCGTTCCCTTGCTGAGCTCAGCATCCTCAGGGCTGTGTCCTGCACTGAGGAGTCAAGGCTCCCCTGTTGACTCGCTCATCACTGGGGCCAATATAATTTCATTTCCAAGAATTGGCTTTCCTGGGTACGGTGGGTTCTCACTGTGACAGCAGTGCATAATTACTGTTTTTAGAGTAATGGCAGTCTGTATTCCTTGCTTCATTCGGCGGGAATTTGTTCCTTCTGAAGCGTTTGTCAGAGTGTGATGTCTGCTGAGCATCCCTGGTGGGGAGCCACGTGCAGGGGTGGGCTTGCAGGTGGCCACCTCCTGCTCTGTGACTTTGTGAGACAGATAAATCCATGTCAGGGTTTCCACTCCTCCTTTTCTCTCCACACGTCTGACTTCTCCACCCTGTTCCAGTCCATCTGGATGAGTGCTATGACCCAAGTCCCGTTCTTACTGGAATACTTCAATCCCAGGGACATATTCCAGCCTGGAGAAGAACATGCTGTCTCCACAGCTATTGAAGTATCTGCCAGCTCTGTGTCTAGGAGGCTGAGAACAGCTCTCCATGTGTCTAAAACTTGAGTGGTTACTCAGGCACGAGCAGGGTTACAGAATTTGTGCTGGATGCACAGAGAGGATTTGGGAGCTGCAGTTGGGGGCAGTTTTCTGGAACAATCTGTTTCTATAGACTGAATATACTGCTTGGGGTTTATTTCATGGTAAGTGTTGCTTTGCTTGACTCTGCGTTCACCTCCGGCCTCCCCAGCTGAAAACCGGTGGAGGAAGGTTTGTTAGTGAGTTACTGTTGAGCCAAAGAACTTGAAAATCAAGTTTCAGTTTAGGAATATGTCAGTGATGTAGAATATCTCCTGAAAATGGTCTTTAGTAAGGCATGCCGATAAACCAGGTCCCATGGCAGCACCCTAAACCATAAAATTGTTATATGAAGACCACAGGATTTTATTTAATTTTCTCTTCTGATTTCACAGATGGGTGAGAGGAAGTTCTGAAATGTATTTTCAACTTGTTTATCAAGAAATAGTAGTAATGACAAATGGGATCTTTGTTTTTTTTCCCTTTGATTACGTAGCTGTGGGCCGTAAGTGTTCTCACTTCCTAATTGCTAAGGTAGTAAAGATGAACTGTTAATTAAAATCTCTTTCCCGGACAGGTCTTTAAATGCTCGAATTAATTAAGTCTTTAAAAATTGACGTGACTAAAAATCTCATTTTGGTCCTTTGTGATACCTTATTCCAGTTAGTTTTCCAGTTATACAGAGAGGTCTAATGTGACCGAGACCCAAATTTCTGACATAAATTACAGAAAGCCTCCTTCTTCTCTCCCTTTTCTTTTAAAACTAAGGAAAGACTATTAAAAATTGTCCAGGTTTACTTTATGCATCAGTGAGAATAAAAGACTGAACTGCATTTCCATTTTAATTTGCAGGTCTGTTCCCCCTCCTTTGAGTGCTTGTGATGAGCAGTGTGACTAATGAGCTCCACAGGACCAAAAAGAGTGGCACTTTTCCCTTTCTTCTCCTTCCCCGGGTTTTATTCCTGGGTGTGGTTTTTTTTATGTTGCCTGCCTCTGATGTTTTGCAGCTTTTCTTGGTCTGGGCTTGGACTAATTCCCAGATCTGTTCTTGCAGATTTTAACTTTGCCATGTACCCACCATCAATGATAGCAACTGGAAGTGTGGGAGCAGCCATCTGTGGCCTTCAGCTCGATGATGGGGACAGCCTCACGGACCTCCTGGCCAAGATCACCAACACAGATGTGGTGAGTGTCCCACATTCCTCTCCTCCTTTCACTGCTGAGGGCACGGGGGAGCCCCCGGCTGTGAAAGCTGATCCTGGAAGCTCGGTGGAGCAAGGCACAGGGATGCTCCCGGGCTGAGTTGCAGGCTTTTGAATCTCCAAACCTCCTTGGACTCCCGGGATCAATTTTTATTCACCCTTTCTGGTTCAACAGCCTGGTGGGGAGAGGCTGCTCTGCCTGCCCTGGCTGGTGGTCCAGCACCAAAGCCTCCTTGGGTACCCTGAGTGATGGGGTGAGCAAGCAGGCAGCATTCCCTGGGGGAATAAAGTCAACCAGGGGGCCTTGTGGTGCTGTTGGTCCTGTGTTTGCAACCTTGAAACTGCTCTTCTGGCCCTCAGGGAGGTATCATCTAAAAACCCTTGGCTTGAAGGAAGGGAATAAGTTGTCCAGTTTAGCAAAAAGGGAGAGAATTTTGATAAGTCTTTTTTTCTCTTATGATCAGATTTTCGATACGATCCTAATTTTCCGAGTGCAGTTCTGTGGCTTCCCATTTCTTTTGATCGGAACTGGATTTGCACAGAAAATGGGACATTACCAGTTCTGAATGCTTGGAGTGCAAATCATGGAATGGCCTGTGTTGGAAGGGACCTTAAAGATCATCCAGTTCCAACCCCCTGCCATGGGCAGGGACACCTTCCACGGGCAGGGACACCTTCCACCAGCCCAGGGTGCTCAGAGCCCCATCCAACCTGGCCTTGGACACTGCCAGGGATGGGGCAGCCACAGCTTCTCTGGGCAACCTGTGCCAGGGCCTGCCCACCCTCACAGGGAAGGATTCCCCCCTGATATCCAATCTAACCCTGCTCTCTGTCAGTTTGAAGCTCTGCTGTGTGGAAAGGCTGAGAGAGTTGGGTGCAAGGCCCTTTTGCAGCATCTTGCAGATTGGACAAACTTCTGTCTCCCGTGCTGGATTTTTTCACACGGATTGTTTCAGTCTGAAAGCAAATACCTACCCCAACAGCTCCGGTGGTTCTTAAATGATTAGAAGAAAACAAAATGGTGGGTTTTTTTGCATTGAATATTTCTTCACACCTTTTAAATTTAGCAGATTTTTTTCATCAGGAACGTGCTTTTTGTCATCCTGGTGAAAATCTTTCCGACTGAGACCACGTTCCTTTGGAAAAAAAGCCAAAAAGACACTCTTCCCAAATAACAAAGACCTCTGAACATTTTACTGGTCTCATCTCCTTTCCAAATGTCTGCTGGCACTGGGCAGAGACAAACTTTCTTCCCTTTGCTCCTGGGGTCAGCCCACAGCGGCACAGACCACTGAGGAGAGTCTCAGTCCCCAAATCAGAGCACACTTGGGATAAAAGGAGCTTCTGGATCATTTAATTGCTAAGAAGTAGAAGTTTTTGCAGAAGTTAGAGGCGCTGTCATTTTTTTTCAAGGTGTTTCCATTGTTGTGACCTTGACTCCCTGCAAGGTTTGAAGTCTCAGCCCAACCAAAGGTGGCCAAAATTTTTAACTTGGACAAAACTACGTATTTTCCGTTAGCCAGCTGTTTGGATTTGGGAGAAATATTTTGGTAGAAGTTTCCTTCGTGACTTCTGCATTGGAAAAATGCCAAAGGGCCCAGGACTGGAAACTTTCATCCCACATGTTAAGAGCTTGAGAGAGAAAGAAGCAACTGAAAAAATGGTTTCAGGGGCATTCTTAGCAATAGGTAGTAATACCAGCCTCATGTGTGAAATGCATTGTTGGAAAAAAATGCACTGGCTAGATTGTGTAAGAGTTAGCCCAAGGCTGTGTTAATAAAGAGTAAAGACTATTGTAATATATTTTACGCTGGGACTTAATTAAAGTTGAATGAACAGCTTCAGTTCTCTCGCTTCCTAATTTCTGATGCCTGAGAGCTGTTCCTGCAGCAACACAATTAATTCATTGTCACTGTGTGAATGATTTTGTTTTCAAAGGGGAGGTTAGGGAAGAGGGGGAAGTGAGAGTTGCTGGGCTTCAGGAGCATCACATGGTAGAGAAGCAGGGGAACTCAGAGAAATGACAGTTCTGCAGAGCAGAAGCTTCTCGCCCCGCTGTGCCTCGTGGTAGCCCACAGGAACCATCAGGAAGCCGGGGGAGAGCCCTTCCCGCCCAGAGGCTGCTGGGGCCTTCTGATCCTTTCTGGCTTTGGGATGTGTGATTGCTTAGCATGGAAAACAGATGATAGGACTCTCCCTCTGGCTTTTCAGAAGATGTCACTGTCCGAGGTGAAGCGTGAGATTTTTCACAGAACCATGATTCTGTGATTCTGTGAAAAATTTCAGCTTCAAAGCTCCAAGCATGTGAAAAGAGAGGGTGATAATGAAACCCTGATGCAGCTTAACTGCAGTGAGCTCTTCTGAACCTTTATTGGTTTATAATGATAATTTTAGGGTGCAGTCTATTTGCTGGGAAATAGCAGCATAAACCAGGAGGCTGAAATCGATGGAGTTATTCTAGATCTGCACTGGAGTTTGGCACTTAGTGCTAAAATGAATGTTTTTAATGTATATTTCATTAAGAATTAGACCAAAAAAATATGTTATTAATAAACAACATGTAATTTAGAGCCCAGCTGTTGGGTGAGCAAGCAACCAGCACATTGGTTGTTTGAGACACATTGGTGTTGGATATCCTTGAGGGAATCCAAAGCAGCGCTCCAGACTTTAGGCAGGATTGTACAAGGCATCCTGCCAGTGTCATTCCAGGGATAACAGTTATTTCTGATAAATAGGTGCCCTGGCCTAAATCACAACCTGGAGAAACAGTGACAGCAGGGCCGTGCAAACCTTGGTTTCATTGCTCCTTCCCCTACCAAAATAAACACCAGGGAGCCGCTCCTGGAGGAGCTGAGAAGCCTTAGGGGTAGTGAAAGTAGCTCTGCGTGGGGTGTCTGAGTTGCCTTTTGTGATTGTTACTGCCCCAAAGAGTCACTGAGAGCTGGTCCCACACAACTTGGGGAGGTGATTTGTGCCCTCTGCTCTGCTCCCATGAGACCCCACCTGGACACCTGTGGGTGTCCCCAGCGTAGGAAGGGCATGGAAATGTTGGAGAAATCCAGAGGAGGCCAAGAATTTGATGAGAGGACTGGAGAACCTCCCCTATGAAGGCAGGATGAGAAAGTTGGGAATTTTCAGCCTGGAGAAGAGAAGGTTGTGTGGAGGACTCACAGCACCTTCCAGAATCTGAAGGGACCTCAAGGGAAGCTGGGGAGGGACTTTTCATTAGGAATTGTAGTGACAGGACAAGGGGGAGTGGTTTCAGACTGAAACAGGGGAATTTTAGCTTAGATATATGGAAGAAATTCTTCCCTGTGAGGGTGGGCAGGCCCTGGCACAGGTTGCCCAGAGAAGCTGTGGCTGCCCCATCCCTGGCAGTGTCCCAAGGCCAGGTTGGATGGGGCTCTGAGCAACCTGGGCTGGTGGAAGGTGTCCCTGCCCGTGGCAGGGGTTTGGAACTGGGTGATTTTCAAGGTCCCTCCCAACCCAAACCGTCCTGTGATTCTGTGATTCTGACTTCACAGAGCTCTGCAGGATGGGGATTGCGTGTTCCGTTCCGTTCTCCTGCGGGGGGTGGGAACATTCCCGTTGTTGCTGCTTGCAGGGGAGAGGCCGGTGGGCCAAGAGTGAACAGACCTGCTCACAGGGAGCCCTGGAGCTCCCTGTGCATCTCTTGGTGGGTCACTGCAGTGGAAAAACAAACAGCTCTGGAAGTCAGGAATTTCCCCAGCATCCCAGAGCAGCACTCCGGTGGGAGCAGTGTCCTGTCCCTTCGGAGGAGGATACGAGCACCCTGCTGAGCACAGTGACGGGATGTGAGGAAGGATAGCTGAGTGGGCAGGGCACATTTTAGGGCCTTGCAGTCAGCGTTCTGCCTTCCACAGACCTGTGTTGGGTAAATCCATCCCCTCACCTGCTGGATGAGCAGCCATCCATCAGTTCAGTGTGGCAGCTCGCTAGCCTTGGGTCTGGGAGCTGCCTCCCTGGGCATGCCTGGGAGTGTTCCCACAAATCATGTGCGTGGCTGGCGTGCCCTGGCTGGGTTTGTGCTTCTAGGGACTTTTTCTGGGCCCCTGGATCTCCTCCCAGAGGAGAAATACAGTAAGGTTTCTGAGGAGCTGGAGAAACCAGTGCAGGGGTAGGTAGATGAAAGTCTTTACCTTGGACCAGAATTCTGTAGGCTTAAGTCAGTCAAAAGAAGGCACTCAGCTAAGTTTTAGACCTCCAGAGGCCCCCCCCAGTGTCTTTTCCATGAGACCAGGTAGAAATGTGGAAACTGTTATGTCATATTGAAAAATTCTTCAGGGTTACATCACTGACAAAAGCTGACAAGGTTAGATCCCAAATTAAGTTTACAGTATCTGGTCAGGTCCACTGTGTGTGATGAAGGGGTTGTATGTGCACAGGAGGAGCATCTTCTTCTCAGAGCCCAGCTCTGACCTGGCATCCAGATGGCACAAGGGGTTGTCCTTCCCCCACATCAGCAGCTGGGAAGAGGTTTTCAGGCAGAGCCAATGTGTGGGCCTGTAGGTGGGCACAATTCCTTTTTAGACGTCTGCTTCCAGATGGAAACTGGTGTGTATGGAGCTGTTTGGAAAATCCAAAGCGTATTTAAAGGCCTGAGGTAGAAAGAAAACAAGGAAGCAAGATTTTCTTTGGGTCCTGTTGAACGAGCTGGCTGTGAGCCCTTGAAAATGTGGAGTGGGGCTGTTCTGAAGGCCGGGCCCACAATGAACAGCATTTAAAATGCCTCCACTTCTGTGTGCCACAGACATATGTCCGTGCTGGGGATTTTTTTTTTTTATCCCCAAGTCCCTTCCTAAAGATCCCTGCAAATTCCTGCCCAGAAACTGGGTTCAGAACCCCCCCACGCTCAAGAATTCCGTTTCTGTTGAGCCGCAGTGTAAAATCATGGAAATCTATCTTGAATGGGTCGCAATTGAACATTGTCCCTGCAGCACATACACCATTTATCCCTTCCTTTGTAGCGTTCAGGGCCTGTGGTTTTGGAACCAAGAAAACAGGACTCGCTGTATCTTATCCTGCCTTATTTGTTGCAGACCGCATTTTGTATGCAAGGAAACAACAGGCGAAATAGCCTCCCAAAAGAAAGGAAGAATGAGATAGTTTCCTAAGTTGTCTCTGCCTGAGTTGGCAGCTGCTCCGTCTCATTCAGCTTTTTGTTCCCCAGTGAGTGCTGTGCGTGTGTAGCAACAATGGGGTGATGCAGTTACACCGCGGGCTCATGGCGGAGTTCCGTCCCATCCATTCATAAATCCGGCCCTGCGAGGAAGCCAGGCCCCCTGAGGAACCCCGAGGAACCGGCTCCACGGCCAGGGCAGCTCGCAGGCCCAGCGGAGTCTGCTCGGGGACTCGCCCTCGACCTCCGGCGGGCGATCCTCGCGCAGCCCTCGTGGGACACGGGCGGGTCCTCACAGCTTTTTTAAAAACCCCCTTTCACAGCTTTTTTAAAACCCCCCCTTCTCAATAAAAACCCCGGGGGAGTTCATTGCAGCAGGGTAGAACACCCAGGTTTTCCCAGCTGCCAAGTGCTACCTGTTTGACAGGGCTCGACATCCCAAGTCGCGCCGAGCGGGAGGTGCCGTTCCAGGAGTGGCATCTCTGCCCCAGGATCACCCTGCTGGTGTCTGGGCTTTACTCTCACTTTTTACCCCCCTCCTAAAAACGTTGTTCTCTCCTGCTGCAATGAGAACTAACCCAGAGGAGCAACAGGAAACCAACGAAGTGACTGTTGAAACAACCAGTGAAGCTGAATCTGGAAAGAACACTGGGGAAAATGCTGGGAAGACCTGAAGATGGCAGAGAAAATTGTCCCCTCTTCCACGTGCTTAATGCTAATCACCTTGTTTATTGCATTATTGCAGTAATGTAGCAGTAGTAAGTGGAGAAATTCCAGCACAGATGAGGTTTTCTGGGGATTTGTTTTGTTTCAAGGTTGTCATGAATGGAAATCGATATCTCCAATTATTATTGACTTGAATTAAGTAGATCATGCCATAGAGCTGCTGACTCATCCTTCCAGTTATTTTCACTGCCAGCATTTCCATCACAGCCACGAAGCTACCCCTCATCAGACACTGAAAAGCTTTTCTTTTCCTTCAAATGCATTTCAAGAGTGCTAGTAAAATCACCTAGGGATGAAAGAGTTTCAGAAAGCAAAAAAAAAAACAAACCACCCACCCCAAAAGTTAATTGCCTTTTTAGTTCTGTACATGCTGAAGTAAAAATAAAACTATGGAATGGAAAGTACCAGAACTATTTTAATCATTAAAACTACTAGACCATATAGAAGAATGGGGAAGTTAATCCATGTGACACACACTTTAAAAAGTTTTTATAAAAAACAACAAAGGCAACCCTGAGGTATTCTGAAGGAATGGCCCAGTCCCTCTACTGGAAAATCCGGGGCCATTGCTGCAGTGCATTACAGTGTTCTTTGAAGGAAGATTTGCTGAAAACAATGCAGTTCATGTTTTGTTTCTTTGACACATTTGTAAAGCTTTAATTTTCTCTTGTCAGGGCGATCTGGAACAAAACACCCACCAGTAAAATACGTACACATACAGCAAATCCCCATGGAAGTAGGAAGGGTTAAAAAAATTGTGTCGTGGGAATGCCAGGTTGTTTGTCCTGGTGGGTTTTTTGTATTTTGTGTATCACTGAATTTTGGATTGACAGAAAGTTGCAGTGGTGCCCCCATTCATAAAATAAACCCCCTTGCCTTATCAACTGGGCTGGTAAAATACTGGAAATCAGGGTTTGTTTTTTTTCCTTTCACCCATGAGATTAACATCCAAGGAGCTGTAGTATTGCAACGCTTTTTTGGGAAGCTATTTCATGCTGAATGCAGCATGCTGGTCATTTTACCATAAGTTTCTTTGCTCTAAAGAGTTCAGTGGTACATTGGTTTAAGTTCAAAACCGAAGTATGGACCAGAGAAATAACACACAGTGGCCTGTGGATTCCCATATGAAATAAAATCCATGTGGCAATTCCAGTCAAGGCCCCTTGGTTTACTTTGTGTACAAAATGAAGACATAAGAAATGACCTGTTTCTCTAGAGGGTTACCTAGAGATTTCAGCCTCTTCACACATTAAATGAATCATCACATTGCCCATCAGAAGTTTGTACAGTAATGGTGTAAATGATCGTATCTAGCAGTGTTTGGGAACTGACAAAGCAGACTCCAAATGCTCAAGCCTTATGTGCCTCCTGTCACCACCCTTCCTTCCCCAAGCCTGGCTGCAAGGAAATTGCCTCATTAAGCTTTGCAGTCTGAAGCTGCTTAAAAAAAAAAAAATCTGGCTTGTTTTTCAGGAGGACCAAAATATTTTGAAACTGTGCACCACTGTGCTTTAAAAGAAGGGATTCTTACAACCAAAAAAAAAGTGTATTATGAGTGTAGTCTGTTATAAGAGTCTCCAAACTGCTGCTCCCACACTGAAAAATGCCTTGAGCCATGAAGTGACTTTTTGCCATTGCCTTCTTACAGGTTATAATGGGCTTAAAACCTGCCCATGCTAGTAACAGGGCATTTTTTTTTTTTTTTTAGCTGACTTTCTTTTGCCAGTTTCAGGACAAGGAGAGGGCAGGAGCCAAGAAAAACGGGTGTTCACGAGCTAATTGCACTCATCACAAGCATCAGTGTAATCAGCAGAAGAGATCCTCTTCCCTTGACATCTTTCCCCAGGCAAATCAAACCTCCATCCATGAATGTGTCAGACCTCTCCCGGATAACCTGGAATTGTGTTGGGAAAGCGGGGGGTGTTGGTCAGAGCCCCTCTCCCCAGCGCTGCTGTGGCATCCCAGGGTGGATTCCCAAGGTGCCAAGCACCCGTGGATCCCTGTGGAGCTCAGTGCCCAGCTCTGGAAGTGGGAATGGTGATGCCAAGTCTCACTGCCCCTGCCGGGGCTGTGCTGTAAAAAAATCCTCCTACCAAAACCTGTGTTTCTCTGCTCCCTGAAGTTGTTGGGAGAGTCCCAGCTCTCAGGCAGACTGAGGCTGCAGTAAGTTTTGGCAGTGTTAGCACCTTTTCCAGTGTTGTAGAAGGACTCCTCAGGGCTGCTTTTAGAAGATGCCATTTATCACAGCACCACGTGGCGACCTACACAGTGTCAGATGGATACTCCCAGCCCACTGCACATAATTGTGTTTAGACAGTCACAGCTTGGGTTTTATTTTTCAGTTTCTACTGTAATTGTTTGTCAGTGTTTTCTCACACCTTTTTTTTTTTTTTAACAACCATATTATTTGGTCTTCCAGCGTGTTATCAAGAATACATGCTGTAAAATGTTCTAATAGTCGTCATATTCTTCTTGCTGTGGCAGGTTTAAGTGTGGTGAATCCTTCTCAATTATTTCTGTATTTATGCTTCACCTTTGCTGTCAGACTCCTGATGCACAGGGTTCCCAGATTTGTGCACCCTGCTGTTTTCTCTGAGTGTTATGTAGTATAGTTTGAAATGCTGTGGCCTCTCAGGCTTGGTTTGTGTGGTTTTGACTTGCATATTTTTCTAGTATCTAGTCTTTGCTTTATTGTGTTCTATGAATTATTGCCAATAACTCTTCCTAGGGCTGTTAAAATAGCCCTGCTCTCAGAGTGAAGAGCACACCTTACATCTCCTCCACCTCTGCTGCTGCTGCTGAAATCACTTTTCTTCTCTGGAATGTACTCAGAGAACAAATTCCATCAGCAACAGTGTGGCCAGCAGGACCAGGACAGGGATTGTCCTTCTGTGCTGGGCACTGGTGGGGCCAATACCCAGCATGTCCAGGGAAGGGTAACAGAGATGGGGAAGGGTTTGGAGAGTAAGTCCTATGAGGAGCATCTGAGGGAGCTGGGAGTGTTTAACCTGGAGAAAAGGAGGCTCAGGGGAGACCTTCTCACTGAAAGGAGGTTGCAGCCAGATGGGGGTCGGGCTCTGCTCCGTCTCAAGTAACTTAACCCTGCATAGGAAAATGAAAAAATCATATACCCTTCATTTCTTTGCTTTTTTTCCTGCTCAAGAAGACCACACAAATCATAGAATCATGGAATGGCCTGGGTTGGAAGGGATCTTGAAGACCACCCAGTTCCAACCCCCTGCCATGGCAGGGACACCTTCCACTGTCCCAGGTTGCTCAGAGCCCCATCCAACCTGGCCTTGGGCACTGCCAGGGATGGGGCAGCCACAGCTTCTCTGGGCAACCTGTTGAGCAAGGACCAGTAAAATAGTAAGATTTAGAGTCTAATAAACGTGGCACTGGCACTGTTTAACCCAGGTGGTTTGTGCTCAGAGATTACCTGTGAGAATTCAGGGTCATTTGGCGTCAGAGCAGATGCTCCTTGGGGAACACCAGATTGATGCTCTTCCATCTAATGCCCAGTGAGGTAAAAAAACCCTGTAGGGAAAAAAACCCTTGCCTGTCTGCACTAACAGATCAATTTGCTCTCTGTCTAGGACTGCCTTAAAGCTTGTCAGGAACAGATCGAGGCGGTGCTCGTGAACAGCCTTCAGCAAGTCCAGCAGCAGCAGCAGCAAAGCAATCCTTCCAAGACGGTGGATGAACTGGACCAGGCCAGCACTCCCACAGATGTGAGGGACATCAACCTGTGAGGACATCACCACACAAAGTCACGCTTGCTCCTCCCAGCCCAGTTTATTTTTGTTATTATTTTTAGAGTGAAAAAATTTTTTTTTTTTTTTTTTAATCTGCTCCCACATAGAACATATTTAAACCTCTTTTAGGTTAAAAAAAAAAAAGGAAAAAAAAGAAAACACAAAGAAACAACAACAACAACAAAAAAAGACAAAACAAAAACTGAATAATGAAAAAAAAAGCATTTGGTGCCTGTGATGTTCTACAGAAGGGAATCCCACAATATATTTGGTAATTGCTATTTGATTATGTATCAATGATATTAAATGCTTATAAAAGCATACAAAGTAGCTAGATCCATGTAAGCCTGCGTTTGTGGGAACAAAGTAGAGTATACTTGTCTGTGTATTATGACCTAGTGCATACACCCCTTTTTTAGATTTAAGAAAGGAATCGTGTGTGCGGTTTTATGGCTTGACTAGATTGCAAAGCAATAGAATAAGGGGTTTAGGGCAAAGTGGGAAAAGATCCCTGAAGCAATTGAACCATTTTGAATGCAGAAGAGATTTGCTGATCTGTCACCTCTGTTATTAGTCAGAAGTGTTTGTTGGATCTCTGTATGTTAGTTTTGTTTACTCTTGCTGTCTGTGGTAGCTGCTACCTAAGAAAGAAGATGCTTTATTTTACCAGCCAGAAGAGCAGGTGTTTTTTTGGGTTTTATTTTTAGTTGATTTATTTTTCTTTAAAAAAAAATTTTTTTTTTCAACTTCCCCTCTCCCCTCTTGACTTTTTTCTACTTTTCCTTCTGAAATGGTTCATTCTAAACACAGCAGCATCTTTGGCATAAGGGCAATTCCATTTACCCAGCTGTGGGCCAAGCCAAAGTTACCCAGTGTCCACGTTCAGTGGGGGAAAATGCATGCATTAATCCCGACTGGTTGGCTCTGATCAGACCGCCTCCAACCTCTGGATTGCAAGCTGTGGTGGATCATCCATGAAAAGCATTATATTCCTTCCCAGTGCTAATGCTCCACGTCATTGTTAACTTCTGGCAGCTTCTTAGCTTGGCCGTAAAGACACTTAAATGATGCTCTGTCCATCTTCCTTTTCTGACATAACCCTCACTGTGTTAAAGAAGATGAGATTTGGTTTTGATCCCTCGTCTGCCTTCCCATCTTCCCCACTGCCCCCACACGCCTTTTCAGCATTTCATTAACTTTGTTGATCCACAGTGAGCGTTTTTTGTAAACCATTTCATTCGAAAAGCACTTTGAAAATTGTTCCTAAGGGATTAAATGAGATGGTTTATGACAATTTTGCCGAGGAGGAAAAAAAAAACAACGAAGTGAAACAAAACAAACAAACAAACAAAAAAAAAACAGAAAAAAAAAAGAAAAAAATGGAAAAAAAAGAGAAAGAAGTCACAAAAACAAGGCCTATAGCTTTTTATAGTCAATATTTTCCAGTATTTGGTGTACTTGGTTAGTTGAGGTGTTGCTGGAAATACCAATACCTGCTTCAGATGACATTCCTGTCATGACATTCCGGATAAAAGCCTGACCATCTGTATTGTTCAGTGTCACAGAAGGATCTTAACAGCCACCTTCATGCTCATCTGTGGACAAGGCAAGAACATTCCTGGTGCAACAGACATGATGGGAAACATCGAGGAGTTTTATTACAAAGGTGTATTCAGTGTACTTGAATTTATTTTCCTGCTCCACCTGTAAAGAAGAGGCATTTTAGATGGCAAAAGGAGTTGGAGCAACCTTTTTTTTTGTTTTGGTTTTTTTTTTTTTTTTGCACAATTGTATTAACAGTTTGCAGATATCCAATATGAAGCTGTTGGTTTGAAATGTTAATGTTTGCATTTTTAAGAGAAAAATCCAGAAAGAACATGCTACTTCGAAGAATATTATATGTATGGACTCAGCCGTATTTGGCTAGATGAGGGTAGAAAAATGGAGTAAGATTCTAAGGTTTTGTTGTTTTGGTTATTTTTTTTTTTTTTTTGGTTTTGGGGGGTTTTTTGGTTTTGGTTTTTTTTTTTTTTCGCTGCTAAGAAGCTATGATTTGTTTCATTCTTATTCACATTAACAGTACTTAGCTGTATTGTTTCACTGAGTGTGCTGCTATTTTATAAACATTTTTATAATATATTATTTTACTGCTTAAATTTCAAATCCTGAAGTAGATGGTTAAGTGGAGATATGATGAGTTCTTTTGATTTACTGGAAATGCCCTGTACAGTCGTTTTGTTTTTTGTTTTCTTTTTTTTTTTCCTAATAGCGTGTTCATGATTTATTTTTTATTTTATTTTATTTTTTCCTCCTTTTTTTTTTTTTTTTTTTTCCCTTTTCCCTTTCCTTCCTGATCACATCCTGCAAAGATGGTATACTTACCTCAGGTTTGCTGGACAAAACAAATGGTTCCCGTTTTCACAATACCTCACACAGCCACAGTTTGGTTCCGCCCCGGGGCCCGCGCTCCGTCCGCACCGGGGAGGGGTTGCAAGCAGCCAAGGCGGGGCACTGGCTCCTTTTTGGTCTCTGGTATCCTTCTCATAGTGGAAAAAATGCATTGACTCTCCACTGGCTGGTCCATCTTTCCCAGAACGGCGGGCACGACCTTGCCCTCACCTCCCGCCTTGACGCTCCGCGCTGGGAGCGCCTGGGGTTCAGCGAGGGTGTCACTTCTGGAGTTAAAACATAAAGTAGCTAATAATGTTGGTGAAGGCAGACTCCACACAGCTTGTGTGTGGCAGATCACACCATTCCCAAACAAACGTGGTTGGGTGTGCCAGAGGGTCCCAGGTGGTGGGGTGGCCTCTCCGTCACGGCTCGAGCGCTGGCACCCTGTTCATCCTGTTGGTGTGGTTTGCTCCCCTCTGTGCTGGAGCTCAGGTGTGGGCAGGACTGGTATTTAGGGTGCCTGCCCTGCTCTTTGCCCACCTCCTGCATGCCCTGGTCCCGTGGGATCGCAGGGGTGATCCCTGCAGGATCACCCCCAAGGAAGGGGCTGAGGGTACGACCACCGAGGTCCGATCCGGTTGTGCTGGAAGGAGCAGCACCGCTCAGCATTCCCAGTTCCTCTCGGGGACCTGGAAGGCCTGTGCTGGCCCCAATCCCTCACAGGGACCACCCCGTTACTGCATGTTTGAAGTCTGGAAAACCTAGAATTCTAGTGTTCTCAGAGTAGCTTCCAGAATAAAATTACTGCCTTGTGCTCTCTTCTAACAGATGTTAAAGGGAGTGCCCTGTTATTGCAAATGAGGTGTGAGAGTTCCCCCACCCCCACCCCCCAAATTGCAGATGTCCTAAACCTTCCAATTGATTGATTAAAAAAAAAAAAAAAACACAACAAAAAAATGGTGCTGCTTATGCCTTCCCAGGTGCCAAAGGATTGGCACAACTGCTAAAAGCATTTCTCTCTCAGCCTCCTGTTGATGGTACTTTGGTGATCTTCCCTTCCATTCCTGTAGTGTAGGAGCACCTCATAGTGTATTTATTTGTATTTCCAACATGCTTGTGAAAGAGAAAAATGATTAATCCCATGTCAATGTCGATGATTTGTGCTTGAGTAATCGGATGGCTCTTCATTACTCAGCAAACCACCTGGCCACTGGATTTTTTCCACTATGTTTATTACCATGTTCTCATGTACCTCAGAAATCACTCTCGGTTGCACAGTTTCTGTTCTCAAACTTTTTTGGGTTTTGTTTTTGTTTTATTTTGCTTTTTGTTTTTTTTCTTGGTTTTTTTTTTGGTTTAATTTTTTTTTTGCTTTATTGAGTGTGATGCCATATCAAGTCAATGTTATTCTCTCACAAATGTGCTCTTTAAGAGGTGTGGATGTTTTTATGTGGTCAGGGGATGCTAGAAAGTGTGGTAGTAGACATCAGTGTAAACAAAAAGTATTTAGAAAGTACACAAGGTTGTTTTTGATGGATAAGACTCTGATACGGTGTAGTCTTGATTACCTTTTAAAAGGTCTTTGTTCAGTGTTGTCATTTTTATTAATAACCTGTTCTTTTGACTAGTTTAAAGATGGTTCTAAGACAAGTGTTTTGGCGGGATTAGGTATGCTGTATGGACAATAAACTCACCTTGACCTACATTTGCCTGGCTTGCTTTTATTCCTTCCCTGAATTTGGCTGCATTCCTCACTTTATGATGGTGTTCTCTGGGTGTGATGGTGCCAAGGGTGTGATTCTAAAGCCTCTGATCTGGGCAGGTGGTGTCAGCAGGCAGATAAAATGTGCACTGTTGGAGTCACAGTCACAGAACAAGCACTGAAGAGGCATTTGGGCAGCCACGCTGGGGAAACACCATCATCAAGTGAATAATCCTGCCAATACTAGATAAATTAAAGAAAAAAAAAAAGGAATGAACTCCAAGATACAATGAGCAGGGAGAAGAAAACAAAAGGAAAAAACAAGTGTTGCCAAAATAAACATATGAGCAAAAAATAAACAGATATGAACAAATAGAAAAAATAATGGGTGGAAATATGAATTTAATATGACATAGGAATTAAATATGAAATATGAATTGAATAGGAATGAATAAGAAATGAATAGGAAACACGAATTAAGTCATGAGGCTGCGAGTCAGGACATACAGATCTTTCTAGAATTAATCCCATGACTTTGGGACCTGTGGCTTTAGGCAAAGTCTCTGAGGACTTCCCTGCAAAGTGGCCTGTGAGCCTAAAATTTCCCAGGTTGTGTGCACCAGAGGTAGAGATTCTAAACCATAACGAATCCTCTGTTCCTCTGGCCACCATTTGACAACATGACCAACAATTTCTGGCATTTTGAGGCACAACTTGGAGCCTTTGAAGAACGGGAACCTATGAGGGTTCTTACACCTTCCTTTCGTGGTTTAAGGCTCAAAGGGGTGCTCTCCAGCCTAATTTCAGATTTGAGGGGATTAATTCCTTTCCTGATAACAGTGTCACCAGCCCTGGGACTGCATGGATGTGCTCTGTATCTCCAATTTTTGAGAGGTTTGACTCAATCTAGGAGATGTTCTGTTGTCATTAAGTGAATGTGTATTTTCAGAATTGGGGCACAGAGGCTAAAATTGAAATTAATTGGGCCACAGCCTGTCCTTTCCTTTGAAGAAAGCTGGCTGGATGCTGAGAAGCCACAGACAATCGGGTTAACGTTTCACTACTATGTGGCCTGTGAAAGCATTTTGTGTTGTCATCTTCTTACCATCTGCAAACAATCTCTGCCCATCATGATCCTTACACTTTATGTAAGGACAGCCTGAGGATTTTAAGAAGGGGCAACACAGAAAAATCATGCTTAAAACAACTGGATGGGCACAGGCTGGACTGACTCCTGTGTTTAGGAAATTTGTGAGGCAAAGGAAAGCAAGCTTTAGCATTGAGATTCCAGGAAAAAAACAAACAAACACATAATTGCTTGGTGTTTCCAGTCTCAGAATACCAGTTAGGTTGTGTTTTATTTTACATTTCCCCAAACCTTTCTGTGGGGACAGGAAATGCAGGGAATTTTCCTTTGTGTTTCAACAAAGTTATCCTGAGTGCTTGTTCCAAGAGTCTTTTCAAACTGTTCTGTTGCAATTGCTGTGTGTTTTTTAATTTGTCCAGGAACTATGTAGTCGCTCTTTATTCTGTGCTGCCCTAAAAAGCAAAATTCCTATCAAATCTCATGCAACCAGCACAAGTAGAATGAAATTCTTTCCCTGCTGGAAGACAGTGGGAGCTCTTTAATAGGTCTAGTAATTTTCCCACCAACTCCAGCCAGTTCATGCCTCATACTGTAAATTATTAGTCACCTCAGTAAATGTAACGCTGATGGAAAGGCAGGTAGAAAAGGTCTATTTTAACCTTTCATGGGGAAGAAAAAGCCCAGAAAACCACACGGCTTTGCAGCTCTGTTGCTGATACACTCTCTCACCTTCTGCAGCCCCTTGCAGGTATAAAGACAGAGTAGCTGCATTCAGGTGTTAGAGAGCTGTGGTAGAGCCCTCTCTGTGCTGTCTGCAAAGCAAAGCTGGAAGGGCAGGGAAGGAGGCTGTGCTCTGCTTCTTCACCCCCACAGCCTGCTGAATCTCTCCTCCCAATTAAGGGAAAGTTTATTTTCAAAGCTCTTTGGGGATCCCTTTAGATCTCTGGAGAAAGCTAAGTGTACCACGTTTACTTTGTACTTACTTGAAATATTAAAAGCAAAGCAAACACTCTTCTGCTTTTCTAAATACAATGATGATATCTCTTATGATGAAAGGCTGAGGGAGCTGGGGCTGTTCAGCCTCCAGAGCAGACACTGAGAGGGGACCCCATCCATGTGTGTCAGGGGCTGCAGGGAGGGGGCAGAGGATGGCCCAGGCTCTGCTCGGGGGGCCCAGCAATGGCACAAGAGGAACGGGCAGGAACTGATGCCCAGGAAGCTCCAGCTGGGCATGAGGAAGAACTTCTTTGCTGTGCAGTGACCCAGCCCTGAACAGATTGCCCAGACAGGGTGTGGAGTCTCCTGACTGGGGATATTCCAGAGATGTCTGGACACAATCCCATACCCTGTGCTCTGGGATGGCCCTGCTGGAGCAGGGAGGTGGCACCAGATGGCCCACTGTGGTCCCTTCCAACATTATTCTGGGATTCTGGGATTGTGATTCTACTTAAAATGGTTCTCAAAGGTGATTTGCATTCCAGCTGTGTGCAGCCTCAGGGGCACAGATACCACCATATTTTGACACCAAAAGGAGCATGTGGCAGCTGATGTCACTGCTGATGCTGCCAGGAGCTAACAGTGAAAGCTGTGGGAGTCTTAGTGAAGACACTTGCCAGGGAGAACACGAGGCCAGTGCTCAGGTGGGTTTCAGGTGAGCATCTCCCAGTGATGGACACATTAAATCAAGACCTGTTAGGATTACAACAGTAAGTAATCTGAGTAAAACTGAGGTATTTACACTTAGGTATGAAAAAACACTGAGGCTGCTCTGAGTTTTGCTGCATCCTGAAAGACAGAGACAAAGAAGCTGATGCAAAGGGGGGGGAGGGGGAAGAAAAAAAAAAAAGGCAAAAATGTCTGTCTCCTTAAATGCCTGTCCTTCTGTGGAAATGATGGGGTGATAGTTTGGTCTTACTATTGAGCTTTCTCTAAAAATAAACTGGGATGTTATTTGAGCTCTTCCAAAATGTAACATGCAGAAAAGTAGAAGAAGAATTAGGACAGAGCAGGGAAGGAGACAGAGGGAGGCAGAAAGAGAGAGAGAAAGGTCAGCAGAGCAGCTGCATTTGGCTCCTCAGATTACTTGGTAATGCTTCTTAGAGCAAAAGCTCCGGTTCATCTGACAGGGGACTCACAAGCAAGCCTGAAGAGCAATAGATTGACCTTTCTGACGAGGAGGGTTTCCAGAACTTCAACAAAGCTGTGAATGGGACATAACCAGCTGAATGAGGAGGAATGAAATCGGTCAGCATTGTTACCCAGCACACCCAAACAAAAATTTCCCTCAATTTTTCCAGCTTCCTCAAGTTCCCTCTGAGAGGAGACCTCTTTGCAGCCTACAGCTTCCTCACAAGGGGCAGAGGAGGGGCAGGCACTGATCTCTGCTCTGGGGTGACCAGGGACAGACCCAAGGGAACAGCTGGAGCTGCATCAGGGGTGGTTTAGGTTGGATATCAGGAAAAGGCTCTTCCCCCAGAGGGTGGTCAGGCACTGAACAGGCTCCCCAGGGCAGTGGGCACAGCACCAAGCTTTACAGAGTTCAAGAAGCATTTGGACAACACTCTCAGGTACATGGTGTGATTCTTGGGGTGTCCTGTGCAGGGCCAGGAGTTGGACTTGCATGATCCTTGTGGGTCCCTTCCAGCTCAGGGTATGCCGTGATCCTATGATTCCAAGTTCCACTTCTTTGCTCCTCTGAGAAGCTTTTTATTTCAGTTTCTTTGGATTTGCTTCTTACCCACAACAAAGTTCATCCTGGAGGGCGCTGATGGTCACTGTTCAGCCTCCCAGGTTTAGGCACTGAGGCTTGGCCCAACGCTGTGGAGATTGGCAACGGGAATGCCCGATGGGATTCTCCTTCCCGTCCTGCGGCACCAGCGCAACAGACGGGACGGGCGGGGCCGGGAAAAGGCGGAGGAGGGGGAATGGGAATGGGAAAGGGAATGGGAATGGGAATGGGAATGGGAATGGGAAAGGGAATGGGAAAGGGAAAAGGAATGGGAAAGGGAATGGGAATGGGAATGGGAATGGGAAAGGGAAAGGGAATGGGAAAGGGAAAAGGAATGGGAAAGGGAATGGGAAAGGGAAAAGGAATGGGAATGGGAATGGAAAGGGAATGGGAAAGGGAAAAGGAATGGGAAAGGGAAAGGGAAAGGGAAAGGGAATGGGAAAGGGAAAAGGAATGGGAATGGGAATGGGAAGGGAAAGGGAAAGGGAATGGGAAAGGGAAAGGGAAAGGGAAAGGGAAAGGGAAAGGGAAAGGGAAAGGGAAAGGGAAAGGGAAAGGGAGGGTGCAGAGCGCGGGGTGACCGCGCGGTGGCGGTCCCGACCCACCCACGGCCCGGCGCGTCCCGCGGGAGCTCCCCGGGCATTCCAGCCTGGGAAAAGGAACGGCGCAATCCCTCCCTTCCAACCCAAACTCATTCTGTGCTTCTGTGATTCTGTCATAGCTCACGCTGGGTTTAGGATATTGTCTGATGTTCATGATGTGAGAGCTATGTGATGATGAATTTCCTAGGCAGTCAGCATTACTGAGGTTCAAAATTTCTATTGGGAAAAAAAAAAAAGATTCTCATTTCATTTCTCATTTCCAAAAATGCTTAACTTGCAGCTTCACAAAAGCTTTTCCTTCCCAGGATGACTTCCTCAAAACACTGCTCCTCCTCTGGGGAGCTCCTGTGCTCATGGTAGCAGTTGTGCTTTATGAACATTTTGTTTCAGTGGGTCAATTTAAAAAAGCAGACTCGTGAGCACAGACTGACACGATGTGCTGCTGCAGATCAGAGAAGTTTCCGAGGAGGAAGAAATGAAAAATAAGAATGTTAATGCTGTGCAACTTCAGGCAGTCTCTTTCAAACTTTGCCTGAAGGTCTGTCACTCCTGCAAATGGACCTGTATCAAAACACGCACTTATAAG